TTATGCACATTTATGGTCAACGTGTACAGGTTCCTGGAGCTATTATAATTGATGGTGTGTATCCATTGCTTGTTGTTCTTGTACTACTTTCACAAAATTGCCTTTCGTATTTACACAGCATACTTTTTTCTGCTAGGAGAGACTTTTGCCTTTGTATTTAATATCGGCTGTTATTTTTGTCAAACAAAATATGATGTGAATTTCTTCAGCCATAAGAAAATGAGAAAGATATAAGAAAGGCAATAGAATTTCTAATATTTCCTCCAAACTGGGAAAAGCAGGTTTTGCGTTTCTTTTACCTCTTTTCTCCTGCTTCTGCTTTCTGGTCATTTATTATCTCTCTTTTTTCCTTCCAGTCAAAAGATTTGAAATCCTTTAATCCATCTAAGATTTAACTTGCTACATTTGACCGATTTGTCTCCACTTTTATTTTTATCATAGGTGGCTCCGGTTATTGCAAATATGGGTGGAGCAAGTATTCTGCTCCATCTGGGCGTTCAGCAACATTTTTGGTGAGTTTCTGTTTGTTGTTAAACAATGCTGTGGTCTCTGACCAAAACTGGTGTCTTCAATCTTTAATTCATTTTGAAGTTCTTTCACAATGCAGGAATTTGGAAACATTGAGTCTCCGATGTCTTCTAGACTTAGACACTTCTTTTCAATAATTTGCAGCAGGTTTATCTTTCTATAACTATCACCACCAACTTCTAGTATTTCGCAGTTATAACAAAAATTCGCAGTTATTGATCTATTTTCGGAATGATGCAGTGTTTAGTTTCCTGCATCTTTATACATATTCAACTACAATCTAGATTTTCCTTTGAGAATGTCAAAAGCCTATTTCTTGTGTTTTGATATTTCATATTTAAATCACCTCCCTCAAGAATCTGCATAAAATCGCATAGCTTGGTGATTTGCTAATATAGCGAGATTCATCATGAAATGTTGAGCCTAATTAAATTGTGTTTGTTATATTCCATTGGTACTTGCAGGTTTAACCTTCCATCTCCGTTTCTTTGCTAATTACTTGGACTCTTGTGATTTGCAGGATGCAGCTGAAAACATTCACACAACCTATCATTGTGTCAATACCGCTTCGCCATTATGATGGTTAGCTTCAACTTCATATACTCTTGACTTTCATGTGTACCATCATAATTTTCTCAAATGTTACATTTGTAGATTGTCAACTTATTGTCCAAAATGTGATGCTTTTCAGTATAATCAATTTCGTTGAATTCAAAGGTGTATGAAAATGATTTCCACTTTGGCTCTTTACTTTGAGACTTTTGAATCATTTATTTTGTTTTTTTTTTTTTTAATTTTTATGTTCCTTTTGACTGTTTTCAATCATGTATAAGTCCGTGATTTGCATCCCAAAGGTGGAAGTTATAGAACTAAGCAAGTATTTTGGTTAATTAATTTTTAGAAAATATAACAAAGAAAATTTCCAAAGCTCAACTTTTGGCCAATTCTGTTAACAGTTTGGTTGATAAACTTTACATGTAGTGATATTTGTTTCTCTCTGTTATTATTATGTTTCAGATACTGAGTTTGCAAAAGGTTCTAGGAGACAGCTAAAGGAAGCCATCTACTCTGCATTATTTGATATGAACGTTCCAGCTGTTTGTGCCATCAATCAGGTAGTGTTTATATGTCACTTTCTTAATAAGCTTTGGTGGAATCATTGCATTAGCATTCCTGAAAGCTATAAATTGAATTGCATGTTAAAAAGGAATTACCAATCTTTTGAATTACGAATTTGTGACCATGAAAATATCCATATTTGCTTGAACGCTATCATGAGCAACATTAATATGTCATGATCTATGGCATATCTCCTTGAAAAGATCTCTCAACGAGCTAGTACTTCTATTTGCCTATTTCGTATAAATTTGTTCTTATAGGTAATCAAGTAATTTTATTCATCAAAGAATAATACACAAGAAGTGCTTTATCAATTTAAACAAAATAGAAACAACATGAAATTAGGCGGCCCTTATATCGGATTAGTATCCGCAGCAATAAACCAAATATACAAGTTGGATAAAATAATTCTCTAAACTGCTTCATCGTTAGTGTTTGATCTGCAAAATAGCAGTTGTTCTTTTCCGTCCACGCACACTATGTAATGCATTCTGGGATAAGATCCCAAATAAGCTTGCTATTCTTATCTCGAAGCTTTCTCCTCCACATCCTCTATACACCTTGACAGTACCTAATTCATATGTTGGGAAGTCAGAATTCCACAACGAACGAACACCATCACAATGAATGAACAAGTGGTCAATAGTTTCCCCATCCCTCTTACATATATAACACCACTCGGTAACATAACATCTTTTTTTTCGAAGATTATCCACCGCTAATGTCTGCTCTCTCACAACCTTTTATAGTAAAAATGCCACTTGTGGAGGCAATTTACATTGCGATATCCTCTTTCAGGGGAATGAACTCTCCACAAGTTCCAATAAGGATCTAAAATAAGTGTGAACAGAGAAAATACTATTTCGTGCCACCCTCCACCTGCTACAATCATCCTCTCCTACCCGGATGTGCACCTCATGCAAGGACGTCAAAAACTTTATAGAATGCTGCGTGATTAGCCTGATTGCTAGCAAAATCACCAATGCCCCCCATTGGAAAATTTCAGCTTAGTTTTCAAAAATGTTTCCGAAATTCAATGAGCTAACTATTATTGCATATAACCATCACTAATGCTTGAGTTCAAATGACAGGACATCAACAATTTAAAATAAGTGTGAATTTGATCAATTGTCTCTGTAAATTGGCAATATGATTTCTTTGCTGTGTTATAATTAATTACCTCATGATTTCTTTTGAACTGGTGCAGGCAACATTAGCTTTATTTGCGGCAAGACACACTTCGGGAATTGTTGTGAATATTGGTTTCCATCAAACTTCTATTGTTCCGAGTAAGTTCTTTCTTCTTGATGCAATACTTGTTTTTAAGAAGTATTTCATGTTCTCTAGTAGACCTAAATTATAATGATTTTCTCATTAGATTAAGTTCATATCCAACAAGGATAATTGCAACGTAATCAGTTATTTCTACATATAGTAATTTTTGAGCAATTGAACAAGCATGGGGAGATATCTTTTGCCTGTTTCCATTTTTGCATGTTTTTCTACTAATATATTTGTACCCTTTAAAGTTCAAGTTTCCTAGGATTAACAAGACTCTTAACTTTTTGGTTTTTCTGTTTGACAGTTTTAAATGGTAAAATTATGCACAAGGTGGGTGTGGAAGCGATAGGAATTGGAGCTTTGAAACTTACGGGATTCCTCAAGGAGCAGATGCAACAGAATAATGTTAACTTTGAATCGCTCTATACCGTGCGCACCTTAAAAGAGGTAAATATCCATTTTCCTTTTCTGTAAACCACATTTACTATGCCCCTTTTTTGTTGGCTATGTTTTCCCTGGGATTTGAGGGGAATGGGAGGAAGAGAAGGTTTTGTGTGGTTATCTGATCTGATTAGACTTGTGTAGAATCTTGATTGGCTATAACCCTTGTTGTCTCATATCTCTGGTGAAGCCATGACTTGTTAAATCTTTCTTCCAAACGTATCTTCTGCTTGGAGGGGTGTCACTGTGGGAGAAATGATTCTCAAAAACATGGCTGTGTGAATTTATTTTTTATTATTATATTAATTCTTTGTAGATTGAGATACTCTTGGTTACATTGACTCGCAGAACCTATGCTATGTTGCTCTTGATTACAAAGCTGAACTTTCCAAAGATACTCGAGCATCTTTTCGAGTTCCATCAGAAGGTTGGATCACACTTTCAAAGGAACGGTTTCAAACAGGAGAGATTTTGTTCCAGCCTCGGATTGCAGGCATGTATGTACACGTCTCCTTATTCCGGAACTTCCAGGATTTGGTGAAGCACTTTCCTATAGTATTTGTTCGTCTAGATATATTTAGAAATAAATGGTAGTTTAAGATGATGTAAAAATAAATTTAGGGTAATACCTCAAGATTCTGGATAATATCTATTCAGGAGACTTCATGTTAATAATTGGTAAGAAGTTTATCCGCTGTGGACACCTGTTTATTGCCTTTAGCTCTTTTATATCATGGTTAATTTGTGTCTTCTGGTCTTTTTACAGGCAGGCAATGGCTTTACAACAGGCAGTGGCACTATGCATGGATCACTGCCAAGATGCTGAGTTAACAGGCGACAACAATTGGTACAAAACTGTAATATTGGCTGGGGGCAGTGCATGCTTGCCAGGATTATCGGGTCTGAGCCACTATCTTCAACTCATTTTGTTTGTAATTTGTTGATGGAGACTATAAAGTCTGTTTTGCTAGATTAGTAAGAAGAAGAATCTATAACAATCTCAAATAATTATAACAACGAGCGATATTTTCAATTAGATGCATGTAATTTGTAGCGAAGTTGTTGACATCATTCATTGCTTTAACAGAAAGATTGGAGAAAGAACTCCGCGGATATCTCCCAACATCTATGTCCAGTGGAATCAGAGTTATTCCACCTCCATATGGCGTCGATTCCGCATGGTTTGGAGCAAAGCTTGTTAGCAATGTATGCTGCTGCTCGCTATTCTGAGTACAACATTTCAATCTTGATGCTTAATGTAGTTGTTGATAAATTAATACAGTGGTAGCATTTATCAAATCAACTTGAATTGTAGTTGCATGTGTAGTCTAACCACTTCATCTAATTTTCTTTTGTTTCTATACAGTTGAGTACCTTTACCGGATCTTGGTGCGTGACAAAAAAGCAATTTCGACATTGGTCCAGACGCAAGCAAATGTGGTGAAAACTTTTCCCTCATCTGCTGTAGTCAACTAAGTTGCAAAAGCTAATGAAACAAAGGAGTTCTTTGATGCCAGCTATAAATATTTTCAAGCATTATATAATATATTCGAAAACCATATTATATAAACATGGAGTTCGATTCTTTTATTAGAGATATTATATCATGTGTCAGTGTGCAAATAAAGGCCTTTACAGATAAACTTTTTGCAGTTATTGCAAATTAATAAAGGTGAATACATTAGTTTTTCTTGCAGAGTTAAGAATCTTGCTTTTATGGATGTTCCATATATGTCGGCTTTGGCTCGACTTTACCGATAAATTTTACTTCGCGAAAACTTCACATAAATTGCAGCAACACAAGAAAAACTGCTACAAGAATCATCCTTCTGAATGGTTTGCTTACTGTCCAACATCCCTTAGATCTCTCTGATTTTGATTGTGATTCTGATGGTGGTAGTGCAGGGCATTCGAGCCCTTGCTTCCCTTCCTTGCATTCACTAGAAAATAAACCTGGTGGATACTTCCCCTCGAGGTTAATGTAGTTGAACATGATCGAGGCACACTCGTTTGTTAAATCATTTATATCATCAGCAAACTGACAAGCAAAATCTTTGAAAGCAGGACAACATAGGCTGGGAGGGTAGAGTGGTCCCTTGCATTTGCTGGTGATGATAGTGTAGTTCTGGAACTCAAAGTTGACTGGGCAAGCTGTAAACCAAAGGGAAAATATTCAATGAACATTTCTTTCAAAACCTGACTTTCAGATGATAATGCAGACTTCTTGAGAAACCTCTACGAAATTAGAATCATGTTCCAACATAAGAGAGCTCGAATAGAATCAGTAAAGCACACTAAATTATAATAGCTGCATAGATATCAGTAAGTTTAAAGACTTCTATTAGAGATATAATTTAAGTTTAATGACTTCTATAAGAGAGATAATTTCAGCATTTCATAGTGTTGAAAATAGTGTGCAGATAAATTACGAGTTGTTCTTGGTGTACATAGGTGCATCCACACCCCTCACATGGGGTGGGTACACCAAGACTTATCCATAAATTACGAGGCAATTTATGTAGTACACTTCGAAAATCAAAACTATAGGCTCAGTTAGAGAGCAAATCTTCTTTTCGAAATATATATATATATATATATATGTGCCATGACAAAAAATTCGCCTGGAAGGTCAAGGTGACAAATTAAAAATCCGAGTGTCAAGATATACAACTAGGCCAAAGTGTGGCTCTGCATAACAGCTGCAAGACTGCATCAAACACCTTTACACAGAACAGTTTTTCTCGGTTCGAAAAATCAAGTAAGAGGATCGAACGGAAACTTTTTCAAATTCGAAATTTTTGGTCCACGTTCCATTTTATACTAAAGGTTCTCTAACAAAACTACAGGAAAAATAAAAAGAATGTGAAAGAAACTATGCTGGGAGTCTTTCATCAAAATCTTGCACTCAAAAGAATTTTCAGAAAATTCAAGTGAATTGTTTTGAGAAGCATGGAAGAAAAATATTCAAATTCATCATAATTAATATTTTCCAACTCTTTAAAATTTTTTAAGCACTTCAAAACTGTTTGTCACAAATGAACTCATCAAGGATATTCATTATTGTGATTGAAAGCATGACAAAAATGAAGGTTTAGCCCCGAAATTAACATGACTAACATTGTTGCAAAAGAATTAGTTTAATTGGATCTTCATGGAAAACCCGATTTGGATCGAACATCTACATGAAAAATAGTTCATAACTTTATATAATCGAATCCAAGTTCATTAGTAGTAAAACTTCTTGTTGGCAACAAGAACTAACATTACTAAGTTCATGGAAATTTCTCGAGAAAAATTAAATATTATAATCATGGAGTTCAGAATTATATCACAAAACATAGAACCTCAAATTAAAAAGTTCTAAGGAAGACAAATTCATGATAAATTAGGGAGACAAAAAGGAAGATTACTGAAAAACATACACTTCTTAGCCTGAAGGAGATTCCTTCCAGTTGAACCCGATGATCCAAAAATAGAATCTGCACCATTTACAGCAACCCAAAAAAAAAAAAAAAAGGGGTTAGAAGTCTACAAACTCGCAGAGATACATAGATATAGATATTTATGCAGAGGGAGAAACCTGAAATGAAAGTAGAAGCAGAGAGGCCAGCGAAGAGGGAGAGAAATACAGCCAGAATCAAATAACACTTGAAATTGCTCAAACCCATAATTTTTCGGATCTAAATCAATCAATTTCTATCTCTAAAATTAAAATTCGCACACATAAGCAATTCAATCACTAATATCTGCAAAATTCGTTTACATAAACTCTCACCGGAGTTCAATTCCTCTACTTCTCATGCAGATCTGTGTTTTTCAACTTCAAGTATGTACCATACCACTATGTAGTAATAGAAATATGAGCTGGAAACAGATACAGATGGAGTGCAGATAGCACGGTGCCAATTCTCCACGCGGAGAAAAGTTTTTCTTGTCCGAATTTTGAGAAGTTACTTATAATTAATTTTATAAGTTACAATATTCTCACTTTTATTAAAGGGTTAACTGCTGAACTTGTATTTTACAAGGGAAATTTCCGTGCTGAAACTGTGTTTTATATATTTATATTTTAATACGCTACATTTTGTATAATAGTTACAAAAAGTATTGTTTATTGAAACAATAAATCACACCCTATATTACCTTACAATTTATTTATTATTTTTTTGTTAAACATTATTTTCTTTAAAGGATGATATTTTCCTATCATAAACTTTAACATCAAATAAATAAAAATTAATATTACTAAGTTTATTGAAAATATAGAAAATACTTTATTTTTCACTCTTTTAATTATAAAACCGAATAAAAAACTCTGAATTGTTATCTTCTAATTGACAGTTTTCTTCCGTGATTTTTTTTTTATTTTAAAAAAAACAATCAATTAAAATAATTTTTAATTATTAGTTGTATTCTGTGGATAAAAATAAATATATTAATCATTTAATGTTGGAATAATATTCCAACTTAAAAATTTTAACCTGCCATAGTCATTGGTAATTTTCAATCCGTTGATCCGTTATAATAATAACTTCAACCTAGATTAATATGAATAATGCTATAGTCTTTGTTTGTTTTGCCCGAGAATGCCCGATGCGCTTGTATGTGGATTTGATGGGACATGTTAGTCCGGATATGCCTTATGTAATTGTAAATTATTTTTATCAATATAATTCACATTTACTGATAAAATAATAATAATACTATGTATTTTCATTGGGGTTGTAACCCTAATCTAGATAACGTTGATGTGGTATCAAATGATAAGTGGAATTAAATGACTTCTACTGAAGTTACCACCCTAATTTAAGTGGCGTGAGATGATAAACTAAATAAAAGGTGAAATTAAATAAGTTATTTAATTTTACTTACGTTTAATATCACATTAACGCCAATTAGATTGGGACTACGACCTCACTAAATAGCATTATTCTATTAAAATTTAATCGCTTAATTGAAATGAACCAATACTTAATTCTTTTTTTTTTTTTAATGATCATGGGTGTTCAGGTCAGCTTACGCGCACCTTGACTTACTCACGGGACTTTGAAGTTTACAGTTAGGTACTCACCTCAGTGGTTCTGAAGGTATTTGAATTGGTGACTATTAGGGAACAAACCCAAGACCCGATCACTGAGTTACCCTTCAGGTTAAATCAAAGAATCGATAATTAAGAATTAATGAGAGTCGACATATTTGATCAATCCATACTTAATTATCTTTCTAAAACAGAAAAAATACTTTCCACCACTGTAGAATCGAATTTATTTATTTATTTATTATTATTATTTTTTTAAAGTAGCTTTTCATTCTGCCAAAGCCGCCCAAGCCCATAAAAATGGAATAATAGTAGGATAAGGGTAAATTGCATTATTCCTCCCTAACCTTTGGGAAAGTAGAAGACTTAACCATACCTTTTATTTGTCACGTTTTATCCTCAAGCTTTGAGAAATTAGTGCAATTTATCATTAGGATAATGAAGATATTAAATAACTACCAATTCAACCACAGTCGAGATAATCTCGAGTCGAGTAATTCTATAAAAACAACCAACTCGACCCATACGAACACAAGTTTTCGACTGTGGTTGAGCTCACTTTAGTCAATAGATCAGTTTATTATCAAGTGTCAGTCTCAATTTAAAGGAAAGAGACTTCCTAAATTCATTTCAGTATCCATTTACATCTGACTATCTCTATGCATTAACTACACAGAGTATTAGACAATTAGCAAGAAAAATGCCGCAAATAGTTCCACTAGGAAGAAGACTAAAATCCACACTGAAGCTCTCTCTGTTCTACACCATCTCAGACTTTGAGATAAACATTTTGCTAAGCTGCGTGGCAGATTTGTCATGGATTGTGGAATGAAAGGAAAACTGAGGGAGGAAACAAAATGCTGATCTGCACACACTTCTTCCATGACGATTGGCTAAAGACTCCCGAAAGGGCATATTATGCATTGAGTGGTTGCAGGATCTCCCTACTCTCTACAATCGACAAGTTAACAGCATAACTTTCGTTGCTGCAAAACAAAAGATTGGAATTTTTATGCTTTTTAGAATTGATTTGCAAGAAAAACATAGAAATGCAGTGCACTTGGGAATCATGAAACCAAACAGCAGCACAAACAACTTGTGATTGAGATTTATGTTGAAGACTTGCCAAGATTAGATGCTTTTAGTGCGAATTTTCACGTGTTCGATTTGTTTCTTTTATGTTATGTGTCTATATTTAACATGGTAAGTATAAATAGGAGTAGGGGTTTGAGTTTTACACTGACTATGGACTACTGAATACAAATTTATTGAGATTATCCTCCTCAATTCCTCTATGTTATGTGCGATTTTTTTCTTTTTAATATTCTTGTATTTTCTATATTGTGCTGCATCATCTTAATTATTCTAAGAAGCCACCTTGGTGGGGACAAAAACGAAATCGTGAAAAAGAGGGAAGAGAGACAGGTGGATGCCAAAAGAGCTGCTCTAAGAAATTTTTTTTGTATGAACACAAGGCATGACATACCAGAAAATAGCCAGAAAAACAGGAAACGTTTTTTACAGGAATGACTTACGCGAAATCTGGATTCCTGCATATTCTCTAAAAACTCTGCGATCTCAAGCTGCTTTGTAGCTGCAGTATTTAATACCTGCCACAGACACAAGAATAAATCAATTTCTCCAGGTTTAAAGTTTCGAACAAATCATGTAAATACAACTGATAATTTACCGTCTTCGTTTTTTCGAGGTCAAGTTCTACAGTTTTAATCCTGTTCAAAGATTGCAGTAGCATTTGCTCCTTTTCTAACGGAATTTCAGCAGGCTTTTGTTCGAGTTCTTCTAACAAACTTTCCAACCTCTGGAGTCGCTGTACGCATGGAAGTACCCTGTCTTCTTCACTTACAGCTTCAGCATCAACAGTTGAGAGCCTGCAGTGTTCAGTTCCATCTTCCACTGCATTAGATGGATAAATGTCGGCATGTCTTCTCCAATATGCAAAGGGAACATTTGGGCTCAATGCAAAAAGCTTGGTCGTGAAAGACACTAATGCTCTCGCCATATACAGGAAACTTTTCTTAACAACCTTCTCCTGGATGATGTGCAGCCAATAAAATACCAGACTACCTAGAAGACAAATCAAATCAGATATGAACCCAAGAACGTGAAGTACGAGAGAGCTAAACAGTCACCAGATATGATTCCCAAATACAGGGATCTATACCAAATAATTTGGTTAAAATGTAGAAAAATTCAGACAAGATTTTTGTCTCCATAAATTCATAACAGAAAAAGACATTTACCCCTTCTAAATTGCCTAGGTTACTTAAATGCACAAACTTATTTTCATTTTCCTTTTCCATGGAGGGGGTTGTTGGAGAGAGAGACTGGTGAAGAGAAGAATAATAATGTCAAAATACCTTCTAGATTTGTTCTCCCATCAGCTTTCAAATATCTTGCATTGTCAAATTCAAAAGACTGGTCCAGAAGGTTGGCAGTTCCTTGCTTGCAGTCACTATCATCATCAACTGGCCAAAGATGATCCTCACAATCATAGTAGATACATGGATCCAATGCTTTTGCCTGCATAAGTTGAATATCGTCAATTGATGCATTGATTCAACACATGCCTTGGATAGAGGAGGGTGCGTGTGTCAAGTGCACTTGCTGAGACAGACTCAAATGGAAGAATGAAGAAATACAGTTATATCACACAGTAAAGAACTTAAGTGTAGTTTGTGTAGCATAATAGGTTGGGAAGATTATTCCTGACAATTGATTATGCAATCAGATGGAGGGAAGAAAGAAGTATAGTTACATCACAGAATAAAGAATATGTGTAGTCTGTGTAGCTTAATAGATTGGAAAGATAGTTTTTGACAATTGATTGTCGCAAATTGCATGGAATTGAACTTACGTCTTCATGAACAATGGCCAGTCGTGAAGTCACAGATCTATTTCGTCTTGTTGGAGTGCAAGAATCTTCGATGTCTGATCCTAATTCAACAGTTGATTTATCGCTGCCTCTCCCCTGATGATACAGAGAAAAAGTCAAAGATGGTATAACTAATGTGTCAAAAGCCTAAACACGGACTACCTTCAATGGGCGTATCTGAATATAAGAGTTAACTTTCTGCTGGTCACTGATTATTCGGGTGATCTGCCTAACAAGCGTGGATTCTGCATTATGCACAAGCTACAAATGGACAGAAAATCTTACGTTAGATTAACCAGGAAATTTAATCCTATTTGCAGTTATATAGAACTGTACATACTATAAGTACCTTCATAATTTCAGGATCAGCCCAGGGACCCTTAGTAGACCTAAGGCAACCTCCCTCGAGAGAGCAAGAGCATGATCCACCCAAAAAGTCTGGCAGTTGACTGGAAGAAAACGACCAAGGAATTAGATGGTCTTATTTTTGAAACACTTTAAAGGAAAACATAAGAGAGAATTCAACCTTGGGTCAATGACTTCAAGTAGTTTCCCCAAAGATTTAGCGTCCAAAACCTGTAAATAGATTGCGAGAACAGTTGAAGCTGCAATACGGAAGAAACAGAAAAGAAAGGAAAAAATTAAACGCCAGTTCATATCCTTCACATGTATCTTTGCAGTAGTTTTTGGATCCAAAAACTTTTGTGCTGCAGGCCAAAGCACCTTCTTGAAGCCAGGGCCAGCATTGACAATGTACATATGGTGGAGTGTCTGCCAAGTATTGGGCAAATAGATTATTTGTGGCATCCAAAATTTTGTTCATGATTTCAAAAGAGAATCGACCCTTGCAACCTAATTATACCTCAGGATAGTAGTAATTATCAATTTTGGCCATGGCTGACAATAGACTCGCAGCAGTTGTCGTGAAATTCTTTATCCCCTGCAATCAAAAAATCAAGCCATTATTGTATACCACACTGATAGGTTACCACTTACCATAAATGAGGAGAAAATAATTAAGAAAAGAGCAAAACAAACTTCTGGATAATGTACAACTCAACCAACAGAATGGCATTCTTCTGACATCTTCTAATAATAATACACGAAGCTTAATGAAGTGGTACACTAAGTAAACACAGAAAAGTGGGAAGTCGAATTTGACAAAAAGTGAAGAGATAAATATACTACCCACAAATCCGACAAGAAACTGCCGAAAGACCAATTGTATGAACAAAAAGAATTCAATTTGGGAAATCAGATAATCAAATCTTACCAGTCCTTGGACATCCAATATTGTGATTGTTGAACATATATGTCTTTTTGCAGCAATGGAACAGGCAGGGAACTTCTCTTGAAGGGTTCTTTCAAACTCCTGGACATGATATTTTAAATATCGTTCAATTGTGGTAATGCGCATTAGTTTACTGGGGTGAACTTTCCCAAGCCTTTCAATATAAACAGGTCTGCCTTCCCGATCAACTCCATGATATCCTTGGGGATAATATTGCAACACTTCATCCAGCTCCTCAAATTCAAAGTCCTGGAGAATCACAGTCGATAGAGAGGCAAGTTAAGAGAACTTTGGAATCCCTAAAAGGACGAATTACTGAAAACTCAGGACTTTTATCTATATATGATGAAAGAAGGCATAAAAGCATGTCTTGAAAATGAAATATGATAGTTCTTATGCAAGACTTACTAAGAACTCCCCTTCCCAGTACTTGTACTTGTAAACATAATCATAAAATTACCTCCAATATGGTATCTGCTCCATACTCTCTCCTCCAGTTAAGCATTTCTTCCCACATCTGGATGGTCTTCTCAATGTTAAACTCTCTTGCTTTCAAAAACCTAAAACAAATCAATAGCTCAAGACTCAACTGCTGGTTCCTGACGAAATAAACTTAGAAATCAAGCAACAAATATACAAATACAAATGCCACTAGCAGCTAAACAAACAATTGCATAAGATCATGCATAAAACAAATATTGAAGTTTCTGTCATTTTTCTGATAGTTTCCTTCTTGTCATATATTTTTTCTCAAACAAAAAGCCTAACATATGCGAAGACAGCCAAGTGCCCTCATTCCAGCTGCCAGCATCCATTGATGTGAGAGATTCATTAAAGTTTGCCTACCTCAATGTATACACTGACATGATAGGAGATATTAAGGTGAAAAGAAAAAAAAAGGGGGAAAAACTCATTCACCTCAACAAAGTATGATAGTCATCATGGCTAACTGGCAACAAATCCTTGTGAAGGAGTTTTTGACGCAGATCATACACAGAACTCTCCTCTCTTGAACTGCGCACATCCTCGATGGAAACTGAAGAAACCCTGTGGTCGATTTTCCTTTTCCCCCTTTTCTTAAGAGAATGAGTGAACTTGTTTGAAGCGTTTATTGCCTTCTTCTTCAAAGCCCCAATTTTGGATCGCCGTCTTTCATCTTCAGAGTTTTCAAAATCTGACCTCTTGTCCTTGGTTTCATCATATGCCTCTAGTCCTTCTAGGCCTAACATATCACCTATTTATGTAATTCATTAACAATAATCAAATTTCTTTGTATTGTTAAAAAAAAAAGAAAAAAAGAAAAAAAAAAGAGTGTTCATTTTGATAAGAAATGATTTTATCTACAGTCGTATCAAATGAGAGTGAATAGCAGCTGATAATATAGCTTACTGGCTGACGTTACAGAATAAATTTACATACCTGACATTTTAAACAAGTTTTGAAGGAGGAGGCTATAGGAAGAAGAAAACTCTCAAAGTTGAGCAGAAGCAACACAATTCCCCAACATGTTTCCCTGCATTATCAGTGAAATAAGTGGTTTAGTATCTCATGGTATTACATAATGCAAAACATAAATAGATTATCTACGATGGTTCAAGTCATTGGCTCAGACAGTCCCTTTCTTCCATTTTTCTCTTTCATCTTCTCCAAATAGCTTTGCAAGAAATTTAAGAGAGAACTCAAAACTTTCCCTCAGAAGTACAGTTATAAATTCCCTTTTTGCTAGTACATATCTCTTTATCCAACTAAATTCTCCAAACTTCTACTTTTTTCTGGTAAATAAAACCATAACAGATCGGGTAGTCAGCAAATGCTCAAAGCTTTGCTTGCTTTCTTGGGTTCATCTACGTATTTTTTTTTCTCCTAATATTTCCTGTCACTATCTTGGCATTTGTCCAATTAATACGATCCAATTAAATCAGCAGATATGTAGAATCGCATAGTCTGTTGAAAAATAAGCTAAAAACCCTTCTTATTGCCAAATATTCATCCAAAAAAATCCAAAATTACAACAACTTTGTAAACACAGGTATTCATAAAACAATACAAACACAAATTGCAGGTAAAATTAGAGTATGGGAATAATCATTCCTTCTCTTCCCTATCGTTTATCACCAACTCCTGGTAACATAAAATTCTACAATGTCAATAATTTTTCCTCAGATCTCACAGAACATTCAATCATAAAAATTCTACCAAACCATGAACCGACGCAAACATACGCTTTCACACAATTAATCGATCACATTATTAGTATGAATATCGCAAAAACAAGAGAGGAACCTACAAAAAACTAGGTATCAATACGAGCCGGATCGAAACCTCCTATTACATTGATTCCCTGTTCTTCATTGAATTGAAAATGCAGAATACGACACAGCCCAAACCTGGAAATTTACAAAGTTGGCCAGAAACTTTCCTAAAAAAAAATCGAATGAAAAAGAAAAATCTGATGATGTTTTTTATATCATATTCATATACACAACTAGGTATATAGGGTATGTATAGTTTGTATACATTTTATTTGTAGAGCTTCCAGCATTTCTACGTTACTTTTCGCATTAGCCTTTGTTCGGTTATCTTCTCTTACGTGGCTTTTTTATTTTTTTAATTTTGATTTTTAGTGGTACCGAGAAAAGCGGACGTGAAAATGGCATTAAATAGAAGGGGTCAGAATCTCTGTTAAGAATTTGAGTAATGCTATTTGTAGTCGCTCTACGTGATATACACATGACAGTGATTATTTGATACATTAATATGGTAATTTTTTTATTCATTAAAGTATCAAATAATCACTTGTCATATGTATGCCACGTAGGACGACTGTCGCAGTGAGCTACTGCAAATAGCATTATTCTAAGAATATAAGGCATGGCAGTGTTTTACCCATTTTACCCTTGGGTAAAAAGGTCAGAGGATAAAAGTCGTTGCGCTTAACAGGCTTTTTTTACAGCTACGGACTAGGCACGGGCAGGCTTGTTTTTGACAAAGTCTATTAAAAGAGTTAAAAATCTTTTTTTACATTTTAAATAATGTGATATAATAATTAGTTGGTATGTCATACAACGATCAAAATTATAGTCCCATTTGGGAGTGATTGTGATAATTGATTTTGTGACTGTTAGGAAAAAAGTGGAGGCCACTTGTAAAAGAAGAAGTCAAACTTTATGATTGGAATAGTGGAATAACGATAAAAAAAATTAATTTTTTGAGACGAAAAATTACTCCCAAACAAGTTTTATATGTGATAAAGGCACAATGACTAAAGTTGATCCAAATCATTCTGGTATGAAAATCCATTTGTGTCCATAAAGTTGTAGTTACATATCCCATTTGGAGAATAAAAAGCAGAATCTTGAAGAATACAGAAATCTTTTGACTAGATTCAGTTTTTCTTTGACACAAAATTATTTGAAAATCAATTTTTTTAATCTTATTTTTAATCTTATATTTTTTTAATGAAATATTTTTGTACTGGACACACAATTTTTTCTTGCTTTTTTAAACACATCCACTAAAAAAATAAAAAATAAAATAAATAAATCATTTTTTCCCCTTCAAATAATGTCTCTCAAACGGACCCTCGATTGAAAAGGAACAGGAATAATAAGGGCCCTAGACTGTGAACAAAGAACAGCAGAAAACAGAAAAGTGGAAATCTGAATTCCCATCAGAAAATTTGGCGGCAAGGACAAATGCACTTTATTTTGAATTTTACATATATAAAAAAAAAAGGTTGAACCCCAACCGTGAGAGCCCTCACACCCCGTCTCTAAAACTTTGTGAGGGAGGTAAATCGCGGGATGTGACCTAATAGGTCAGAGAACAAAAGCTGCATGTACATGCACCTACAAGAAGTCCAATTCCATGTCTTGAGAATCGAACCTCCACACTGCGGCTGCCAACAAGGCGTGAGATAACCTTACTCTTGTCCTTTGCACCACTGGACTATGCCCTGGGGCACTTTATTTTGAATTTTATTTTTTTACAGAAGGTGTTTTAGTCAATCGACGCTTCCTAGGTTTATAAATGTTATAAAAATATTTCACATTCATTTTCAACTTTTTGCTCGTGCCTGCCACAGCTGAAACGAAATTGGAAAGGAGTGCGTGTAAAAAATAGATACATGGATTTGATTTACAAGGTTTTGCGTTATACGAAGAACAGAAAAGGACATGAGAGAGAAGAGTTGTGTTCGTATCTATACGACTCAAACGAAGTAAAGAATCGAGTTGTTCATGCAAGTATTTTAAGACTTGGTTGCACTTTTTGGAAATTTCGAGACTAAATTTGTTATTTTTTTTTCCTAACGGCAAGGATAATTTTCACATTGTTCACTTGATCTAAGTGTGAAATTCGTCAAATTGAAAGGATATGGACGTTTTGTACAATGTTTGTTTGAATTGAGCTATGGTGCCAAAATAGAAGAATTGAGTTATTTTGCGCAAAACATGCGAAAGATAAGGTTGTTTGTGCCAATTTACCTTACTTATATATTAACTCTTTAGTAAAATAAGTTTTAATAAATAATTTCTTACTTATTTTTGGCACCATAAATAATTTCTCACTGATCAAAATTGATAATTATTTATAATGCATTTAAAAACTAAAAAGTAAATGTTTTGAAAAAAAGAAAAGAAAAAGAAGAACCACTTTTACTTATTTGTTATTCTTAATTTAACTGGAAAGTGGTTTAAAATGATACCTTTAACCTTTGTTTACTTCAATTCTGAAAAATTATTTTGCCTTTTACCCATCCTTCTCAATGGCTAGAAAAAAAGTAACTTCTTGTAGGCGCAGTATACAGGCAGTTTTTGTTCTCTGTTCTGTTGGGACACATCCCGCGATTTACTTCCCTCAAAAACTCTAGGAACGGAGCGGTGGGAGCTCTTAAAGTTGGAATTAAACCTTTTTTTTTTAGAAAAAAAGCAACTTATTTTTTTCGTTTTGACTCAAAAAGAGACGAAAATGAAGCAGAGTGGGAAAGGAAAAAAAATATAGCTTTATACAAATTCCAAGATTTTTTAATATTTTGCTACAGAAAAAGCATTGAAACGTGATCCAGTACTGTAAGGGACAAAAGGTTAAGGTAGCATGGAGCGGCAAGATTTCCAGATTGCGACCCTACGAAAAGGAAAACATAGACAAGTCATTTTCATAGTAGGCTCACTAATTTTTACGGTTATCTAGTCATTTTCATCCATGCTTGCACTCACAAATGGGTAATGGAGGACTTGTTTCGTAGTGCTTTTACATGTGATATTAAGCTTGTATTTGGTTTAGTTAAACATTATTTTTTAGCAAATTTTGATAATATTTGATGAATGTATGATTAAAAAATTAATAAAAATTGTGATTCCCATAAAATGAGGGTCAAATAGGGACTCAGTGAGTGATAAATTTTGAGTCTTATGAAATGTGAAGATAAAAAATATGATTATCAACCTAAATTCTAGTTCTAATTTTACCGAGAACAAGCTAGTGTTTTTTTTTTTCTTTTCTCACGTTAAGGGGGTTAGAGGGGGCGAATCACTGAACTTTTATTAAGCCCTCATTTGTTCTCCATTATTTGCCTATTAAAATGAAAAATGTGATATTTATATATCATATCAAGCCTCATATTTAACTTTCTATTTTTTGTGTGGGATCCATAACGACTATATTTTTTATTCCCATTTTTACGTTAAATAAAAAAATTAATGGACATGAACCTCTAAAACCATTTGTTGTAAAATTGACTAATCTAAAATGAAATAAAACCCATGTTTGGTCCCAATATTTGAAAACTCATTTTCTCAAATTCAATTTCACTTGCACATTTTTGAGCCACATTATTTCAAAAAATGCATTCTTAAATAGTGATTTGACATCATTTCAACCATACATTTTTCAATAAAATAATATTACACGTAAATCAAAAAATTTTCCTTCTTTCTTAACCACACATTTCCTATCAATACACTATTCAAGAATGCATTATTACCAAAATAATGTGGCTCAAACATCTCCTATGTGACCACAATTTCTATCGATTTTTCGATCATATATTTTTTTAATCAAAATTTACTCAAGATTTGATTTTTAGTCAAAGGATTAAAATTCAACAACTAATATAAAAACGCACAATTATTTGAGGGGTAGCGTTGGAGTAGGGGTAGGGTAATTAATGAAAGAGACCGGACAAAACAGAGATTTTTGGCTGAATCTATATCACTTTCACAGGTCCCTATTGGAGGGAATTAATTGGGTTGTGTATAATAATTAAGTAATAATTCACAGTGAAAATAATTAATTACTGGGAATGTTTATGATTCATGATTAAATGCCCCCACGAGTTGTCGCCGACAATGGCATTTCGGGTTTCACGCTGTGAAAAAAGTTAGAATTTGCAGGGATGGGAGGCGAGGGGGTTAAACTTCGAACAATAAAGATATTTGTATATTCGGGATTGACATCTTTGATGACACTCCCTTCACAAGAGAGGGGGTCCACACATAATAAAATAATTGTAGGTCCCTCTCTTGTGAGGAAAGTGTCATCGGGGGTATCAACCCGAATGTACAAATAGTGAAGTCCAACTTCAAATACTTAACTTTACGAAATTAATCTTAAGATATTTATAGTCGAGCATGTCGTTACGACTTACGAGAGTCATTCAACAATTTATAAATTAAAATGATTGTCATTAAGAACACAATTGTAATGCATCTATGAGGATTAACTTGATTCTTTCTAAAAGCTAATTTAGGAATATTTTGCTAATTGGAGCAAAATTGAAAATTTCTCTAATCTTAATTAATACTAAAGACAAAGAGGTTAAATATTTAATGTAGCATTTAATTCTAGTATATCTTATGTAGTATTCATTACACTAAACTAGATAGATCAATAAAGTAACATTTTAGCCTTCGGTTATTTAAAAATTCTAAATAATTTAATTTATAAATAGATAGAAATAAGTTATAGATGATATTTATGTGTATACTGGAATGTTTGATTAAAATTGAAGCTTGACATTTTAATGATTTATAAATTTTGCCAGACGAATGCTTAAATGTTTCTTTAATGTGCCAAATATATTACTAATATGAACTTAAAACACTAAGATTAATTGACTTACATCATTACACCTAATTAATTTCCTAGATTTTTTCCCAGACTAAAGAATTTTCTTGCTTTAACCAAACTTTTGCACTCACTCAAAAAGACATTCTACTTAAAGAAGCCAAATCACAAACTTTAGATGAAAAACGAGCAGTTCTAGCAAGATTTGTAATATAAATTTTCAATTAAAAAAGAAAAAGAAAAAGAAAACATAAAGCGTGTAGCCATAGATATGAAGCATATGGTAAATTATAATATATAATTCACACTATAGTCCAAGAGAACAAACAAAATGATTTGAATACATCCAATGTTATACAGTTGCTTCAAAAGGGACATCACAATGAGTCCCTTCTGCCCCCTAATTTTCCTGCCTCAATATGCTAAATTTTGGGCAAAGGGACTAA